ATGTTTTCTCTGGCTTACGTTATTCCATGTTAAATTACATATATTTTTTATCTTGAAATATCTCTATATATATCTCTAATATGTATTATTATAGGTTTTAATATAGAATGTAAATATAATAATATAATATATATATATACTATATAATATTAATTATATAATAAAAATATATTGTATCCTTTTAAATAATAATTTATTTTATGTGAATTTTTTGGGCAAAATATTTGAAACACTTTGAATATTTATTTTTTACAATTGAATATTTAAGAGTAAATATTCAATAGAAGTGTTTCATATATTTTGCTCAGTTTTAGTTTAAAATGTAAACCAGTAGAAATCTTTGGGAGAATGTTGGGAATGACCAAATAGGATCTGTTTGAGTTTCCTACTTAAATTCGCATGTTTAAAACATTACACTTCTAACCAGAAGTGTAATGTAACCAGAAGACCTGCATAGATTTCCAATTTAGAAGCTATGATTATTAGGAAATTGAGCTGGACCCCAATTAGATCCCAAACCATTTTCTATGCAGGTATACGCGGCCGTCGTCTATCTACATCTTCTCATTTAGAAATGTCCCGCGCGAGAACCCGATCCTCGAATAGATTCCGCAAAGCATCAACAAACAAGAGATCGGGTCGAGGAACTGTCTCGGGTATCTTCTTCAGAAGGTGAACTCTGGTGATTTCAGCCGCGCTCGATTCACTGTTAAAAATATCGCGATGTATCACGTTACGCGATCAATTATTTCAACAATAGCCTGTAATTACCTCTTACAATTAGTCAATCAATATCTCCGTGCGATCCGGACTTGGCGAAATAATAAACGAACGAAGCTCAAAATTGAACCCTTCATATTTGCGGTCGGGGGTGGCGTTATATGCGCGAGCGAGGCAGGCGTATTATTGCCGAAAAGGACAGTCTTCAGAATTCAATAATTCGCCCCCGGCGGCGTCTTACGTTAGATTAAAGGAGCAAATGTTTCTCGACCGCCGCTGCCGCCATATTGCTACTCCGTGAGCATTAGGTCCGCTTGTCTTGCGTTCCCGAGGGAGTGGCAGGGGTCCCAGGGATAATATGGCACGTCTTGTGACCCCTGTGCCATTTTTTAGATTCTTGTCTCGAAGGAAAATAAATGTTTGCCGTAAAAACGAGAGCGACGTTTACTCACGTATCGGGAAATCATAAATAATTTCGCTTGTAACAGGGCGAACGAACGTATTCGCGTGATTTAGGATAAGCTCGGAGTCCCGCGCAGCTGAGATTAATCAGCGGGAACGCACGATACGTTGTGGCTGCATTTAATGAAACAGGAAAGAAAAATGTCACGGGGCAAACACTAAAGATATCGCTCACCTAAGTATAGTTGACGCAACATAAAATATTAATATTATCTTTCGCCCGTGCATACACAAAAAAATACATACCGTATTCAAGTAAATGTTATACTTGTTTCAAATATTTTATAAGTTCGTGTATCCGCGAATCTATCATAAGTTCATTATGAGCATCAAATTTATTCAATATACACTCTGAATCTTAGTAAGTTTAGCACTTCAATCAAGAATATTAAGTTAAAACAAAAATTCAATTTACTTTACATCGATAAGTTTCAGAATATTCTTATAAAGAGAATAAATTTTCTCTTCGAGCGCATGATAAACTCTTGTCAAATTTGTGATGAGTATATTTTTCAGATTATTATCAAGAGAAAATATCTATTCTTGAAAATAACCATTATTTAAAAAAAGGGAATTAACTGATACTCTCAGTAATGTACGTATGACAGTAATGTATGACGTTAGCAAATCCTATAGATTTCACAACTATAATATTTATCCTACGGACCACAACAGAGAGCCAACAATATTCCTTCAGTTGAGAGGTAATTATACATATATGCAAATGTGCTAACTGAACATTACGTTAAAAACTATAACCGTGAGAACTGTATAAATGGGCATGTAACAAAACAGCAACCTTTAATACCAAGTATATTTACGAAAGCCCTGAAATCACAGAAATTTTCTCTCTAAACACAGGATATGTGGATGCAACAACCGTAGCAGTTTTCTCCGCGTGCAAACGCGCACGCGTTTGGAAAATGTCCACAAAATAATTACTTTTGTTAATTATATAGGAGTACGTAATAATATGATGCGGAAATTACGACGCGATATTGGCGCGCTACTAATGACAACAAGTAGCTTCTTCGTTACAAGCTTAATTTGCTTGCCGCACAAAGTCCCATCGGTATCGTAAGACGCGAAAGCAACATGTAACCCAAGCACGTACGCCATTACGCATTAAGAAAGATGTAATTGCGCCTTTCCAAGTAGTTGGAGGCACGAAGAGCTTTCCCGCCCTGCGCAAACTTAGGCGCAGTTATGCCTTTTCCTAATAGACAAAGTTTGGTCGTTTTTCCTCGCTGCGTTCGTCGCCGTGTTTTACGACGAAAAATCGCGGTCGGGGGTCAAGCCCGAGTGGCGCATGTTGAAAAATATACTTCGAAAAGGACGAATAGTTTAAATGAGATAAATGGACTTGAATGAGTGAACCGCGCTTGGGGAGGAATTTGAGCATTTCTTTCGGTAATGCCGCGCGCCGAGAGAGACCCTCTTATTCGATTTTCTTATTCTCTTATTCGTATTTCGCGTGTTATTATTATTCTTTGCCGGTGAGACGAATGTCAACGAGCTTCTCTTAGGGAAATGTAGAACCTATCTGTTTATCTTTGCAAGAATGGTGAAACTCGATAGAGAGAGAAAAAGAGAGAGAGGGGGAAGGAGGGAGGGAGGAAGAAAGCGAGAGAGAGAGAGAGAGAGAGAGAGAGCAATTATCATAGCCAGGTCGGGGAAGAATCGACGTATACAACCGCCACGAGGGAAAAGAAATGGACGAGAGTAGGGGTGAGTAAAATGGATTTGGTCGAAATTAGAACCTCGGAGCCTATTTCGGCTGTGTTGGCGGGCTGCGTGCGTGATTCGAAGGAGGAAATTACATCGACAACTTCAACAACAACGGCCCGCGTGCTAACTTGTTCGATCACCGCGTAGTTTCTTTTTTATCCGAGCTGGCAAAGGCTGCACCACAACTCGTCCAAAGAATTTAAGAGGTCGATTTTTGTACGGTGGAAATCGGTCTAAAAATTTGAAGCACAAGGAGAAGGAGAAGCGAGCTTTAAATTCAATTTCGAACAAGACAATTAAAAGAGCGATGCATTTTTCGCTTGGTAAAATGTGAAATTTTTTGGTTCAACTTCGGGACGACCGGGACATACTGTTCGATAGCTGACATCGAGGGACGACGATGAATGACAGCCACGCGGAGAATTTTCGACGAGAGACAAGCCTGAAATCCGCGTCACGTTGGAAAATACGTTGCGCGAGACGGGGTGAAGGTGCAAGATGGCCGATAAACGAAGGAGATATTTTCCCTGCGCGAAGAAAGAACGGAACATCTCGAGATTAATTGAGTTCTCGGCCGGAATAAAAAGCGCTCGCGCGGATATTGGGCGATGGTGTAGTATCGAGGAAGGGGAAGGGAGAGAGAAAGAGAGAGAGCAGCGTTGCATTAGTATATTAGAGGGAGAGCAATAGAAAAAGAAAATGGGGAAGCGATCGGCGAAGCGATCGGGCTCTCGCCCGTGGAGTAGATTAAAAGTTTGTCGGGGAATCTCCCAGGATAAGGGAGGCAATTCAGCACGATCGCGATGATATCGATTCGGCGGATCGAGACGGACCGTGAGAGAGAGCGAGAGGGGAAGAAGGCTGCTCTCTCTCGCGCGAACGAGCGTGTCTCTGAATACAGTCCGCCGACTATTCCGCCGGGTCAGATTCGAGAACTTCCTCGTATTTTCCTGCAAATGACGATGCTCGTGTTACGAACGATTGCGTCGGTAAATAGCCGCGCCGGCTATGAGTTAACTTGGACCGCCAACCGTCTTGCCGAGCTCCCATCGAGAAGTGGTGCAGCAGCCGCGCGCTAGCTGCGAGCTTGTATGCGGCTCGGATTACGGTCGCGCGCGACGTGCATCTGTCCCTTGCAATTTTCATTGCGCTCCGAGCGGCATGTGGACGATTACCGTACATATACATGAAACACCACGGAAAGACTACAAGTGTCTGTGTCCTTCGCTGATATGTAGAATTGCGGTTCAGACAGACAGACAGGCAGAAAGGAAGAGAGAAGAAGAGGTATTACTATCCAAAGTACAATCAGCGTACTCTTCACTGAAATGCTGCACTTGTAACTGATGGTTCAGTTACGGCTATAGCACTGCAATAATTCTGTAAAGTCTCGCTGAAAGTTTATAGTAGCGACTGTTCTCATTACTGATGCACTTTGCGAACACGGACAGTGTCGTTGCATGCGAGGCGCGTGGAAGCCGTTAAATCCATCCCCGAGTCGAAATTTTAATCTCACTTTCGACCTCAATATTCAATTTAACGGCTTTGGTACTCTGAAATCTGTATCAACCTCTTTTGGTCCTGTCCAATTTAATAGCTTTGCCAAAAAATTCTTTTTGGAATCTGCAAGTGGCATTCAGTATGTTTCCTGTCATTTAGAGGTGCTGAGTAGGACTTCAGTTTCTGTGTATATTAAACATACAGTGTTCTTTCAGAATATACAGATGTTAGAAAGAAGTTTTAGACCGAGAATAGGGCTAAAATTTCGACTCGGGTCGTCACAAACGCAGAAAGTTGGGTTTGGTATGACGCGAATTTGTGTGTTATATTGTGATCTTACAGTGAAATCTTACTTTCATTGATGAAAATCAGTGAGAAATAAGAGTAGTAAAGTGGGGAGCAGTAAAGTTTTTGCCGAAAATCTGTGAACGATAATCAGTGATGATCGGTGAAATAAAGTACTGATGGAATAGTACTCTTACTGATTCAGCCAGAAACATTTTTGTTGATCCACTTTAAGAGAGTATATACATGCATATAACATTCCGGATAACATGCAATCTATATCTGTCCAAAAATAGCAAACTTACCGAACGATGAATCGGTCCGCGTACGAGAACTGAGCACCAAACAGATCTGAAACGGAGGAGAAAGTTTTTATTAGACCGAGAAGGGCAAGGCGTGCGCTCAGGTATTCCGCAAACTTGAAGGATGGCCGGAAAATATCCGGTTCTCCAAAGGAGGTAATTTCATAAATGGCTTTCCGGCACGAAGTTATTACCGAAAATGAACCGCACGCGGATCCACTTGCGCGAAGAACCGCCGTTATCTTTTCCTTTTTTTTCCCCGCGAACCAATACTGCATCGATCTTATGTGTGGCGTTATCGCAGGAAACGCGACGGAGCGCTTTCCGAGAGAGTTCGAAGTAGCATAGAGTGCACAGAGTGCACGCCGCGTTAGAGCTGTATCAGAGCCCGCGATGCAGGGCGAGTTGATTGCCACGTTGTGTTAGACACCGACACATCACTCGCAATCAGTTTAAAGTACCTTGTTCTCAGAACTTGCAAACTCACGGACAGGCGCGCGTATACACACGCGCGAGGTCCGTGATATGACGGCGGGAAAATTGAGCAAGACAACCGGAGCGCGCGGTCGGACTTATTGATCTTATAATAAGTCAAATGCAAGACGAGAAGATCTCGCGGTCTACCCGACACAACGCCGACACGACGTGGAGACGAATTACAAAAGAGAAAATTACTCGGGAAACAAGAACGGAAGTTCCAAACTTTATCCGGACAATCTCTCCTTTTCAGCAAAAGCAAGCCTCGCTGATTAACGTGGCGATATTAGCTTGCAGTTTCGTTAGACGCCAATGTTGTTGTGTATTTACGAGCGCGTAAGACTTCTTTGATAAATTTCAAATTAAATTTGCATGACAATTTCCTCATGATATGAGAAATTACATTCAATATTACTCATTCTCTCACAATAATAAACAGTTCTCTCACAATAATTATAAACAGTATGCCCGAGCAGGATTTTATAGTAAAAATAATTATTGAATTTTCTAATCGATGAACACATCGACATTCTGCAGTAATTTATTATTCTTATATATGTGCTATTTGTATTTCAAGAACTGAAATGTGCTAGTAAAAAATTTGTATTTCTAACAAAACATAATGAAATTCTAGCGAAATTTATTCCTCAGCAAGAGATGAACCTTATCGAGTCTATTCTTCTTCTGCACTACTAGAAACAGTAAAATTGAAAAGAACTTAATCCAAAATTGTAGAATTTTAGATATTTAGTTATTTAAATTTTAGATATTTAGAATTTTATTTTTCTGTTCTTTTAGAATTTCAGACATTATTTATTTTTGTGGTACGTATCTTTTTCGAAAAAATTGGTTCACTAACATTTACGACTCTTTCATCATTAAAAATTCAAACAACGTATTTATTTTATCGGTTCCTTTTTACAAATATGTTTATTCTCTGTGACGTTTCTTTCAATTCTGTTGTTTCAAACAAGACAATTGTCAATCTATCTCTTATTCTATCTATCTATTTATTTTTCTTCAGTTACATACGTATATTTTTCTTTAGTTATAGTTCTTCAGTTACGTATAGTAATATCAAGTGTTCGTAAAATCTCTTACATTTTAGACTTTTTCTTAGAATTTATTTGAAAAGAAAATTAATACATTTTCTTCGTATATTATTAAAAATATCAAATGACATTAATCTTTAATTATTTTAAATATAAGTAATAAATCAGCGGTCGTGTGGTATTTTCGTATATTGTTTCGTTTTCATGAAGTACTCGTCGCGAATATTAATTGCATACAAACGCAATCGGATCGACGATAAATTTCACCTGAGCGATAATTTTGTTCTGAGCGACGGCTTTTGTAGCTTCTAAATGGATCTTCGGTAGTTTACCGACAATTATCTCGTGTTACGCGCAAACTGCCATCCTAAATTTATCGATCGGCCGCCGTCTCACGGCGCAAATACCCGAGAACGTTAATTAACCGCCGTGGCGAGCACATCGATTGACAAAGTCGCTTCTTATCAAGGTTGAAGTTCATGCGGCATCGCGATTATTAGCGGCTGACCGGTTGCACCGTCAGCACTGATCAATTAGCGGCATATCTAATTTCCTGATTCACGTATCTCGTGTATTGTGGACACGTCGTGGATAATTTTGTGTCGATTATATAAAGTATACTCCACCGTAACTGCAGAGATCAACGGAAATGTTCTGTCTCACATGGCTTTAATTGTGATTTATTTTCCGGGCGTGTATTTATACACACACATATTTTATCCCCTCTCTCATGTGTTCGTGTCGATTTTTATTTATCTTTATTTGAGACTTTATGGAGATTTATTAACTTTGATTATCATGTGACGAATTATATAACTCTCATCTTCAAAGTTTATTGTCATTCCTTAGACACAGAACGATCATGACACTAAATTCGCATTCAGCGAAAATTCTAAGCAGCTAAGAAACATGCACTTTTTTTTAGTTACTGGTGATACTGTCAATCATCAAATTATAATTCTTAATGGGATTTGTATTTAGTAACTTCCAAAATTCCTAATGTGACTTTACTCCCGCTAAAAACATTTCTTTTTAAAGTAAACAAAAAGATTAACGGCTGTCAATAATCAAATCTTAATTCTAACATTAAATTTATACAGCGATCTTAAATACAGCGATCCTCAAATATAAGATAACTTAATGCAAAAATAATTTTAAAAATAATATTCTTTTAATTTAACTTCTAGTTAACAATAATTTCCAGATAATTTCCAGATTGTTATTAATATTTCAGGAGACCCTTTCTAAAAATCCAGCTCCACAGTTCCCTTTGAAATTTATTAACGATTAATTTCAAAAAGATCCGTCTCAATTGGTTAAGAATTATGTAGTGATTTTTGAATAGTAAATTTTTTTTGTCCTCACTTACTATTAATGTTGTGGTCTGCTGCGTTAAGACATACAATTTTAAATGTTTAGTCTTTTCCTTACGATGCACCTTTATATTTTCATTAATATTCATATACATAGATAACAAACTAATTACAGCGCAATCTACATACTATGAGTTCTTTTGTAACCGAGTGATAATCTATTAATTTCTATATTCATGTAATTATACGAATTCATTTATTAGGCAAAACATTAATATCAGCTTAATATCCGTTGCTTCGCCTTTTGGTCACTTTCATCGCACAACATTCTGTCTGCTATTTAGTACCTTTGTATATCAAAACGCCCAATAAAGTAACATTATTATTATTATCATTATTATTAATTGTTGCCTCTTTCCGTCGCGTAATTGCCAGTTGAAATTTCCCGATCGCAGGAAGAATCAAATTTAGACGCCGCGGCGTGAGACGCGCGTTACTAGAAAAGGCGAGGTTGAGGAACGGAGAGACGAAGATAGGAATAAGGTGTGCAGTCGCGTCGTCGAATTATCCGCGCGGGCGCATTTCCAAAGTTCTCATTCTGTAATGACAAAGTAGACGACGACCGAGCTGCCGTTCGGCCGGGGTGTCTCTCCTGAAGCGTACGTTAATGCGCGTCTAATTGTGGCATTATATTTCTATGAGCGCGCCATCGAGCTACGACATTACATTTCCCGGCGCGGCGTATCGAGAGGACACTTCCCCTTATCACGGAGCAGCTCGCGACAATGTCTGTTTCCCGAGATGCGGTGGAGGAAATCGTTAATCTCGGCAATCCGATTTATCCGAGTAGGGACACATTTACTTCTTTGCGGAAGCGCGAACGAGCATCGCACGCCGAGTCGAACCGGCGCACAGTGTGTCAAAAAGCACATTTGATGGACAAAATTCTGCCTACATCACAAATCTGCATCGATTTTGATGAAACTTTTTTTAAAATACTCGTGAATAGTTTTACTATAATGTCTCACTGCCAAAAATTTGAAAAAAGTAAACCAAACCCCAAAAATAACCTCAAACTCCATTATTTGTTATCCCTAATTACCTCAAACTTCATAACACCATGGTCCGAAACTCTATCATTCCAAACCTTATAGTACCCTTATAGTCTTTTATAGTTATGGGGTTATGGGGTTTTTAACTCATGAGTAATCAGATTTAGAAGTTATGGGACTTTGGAATGATGGAATTTTAGACCATGATGCTATGAAGTTTGAGATAATTAGAGGTAACAAGTAATGGAGTTGGAGTTACTTTTTTCAAATTTTTGGCGTGAGATATTATAGTAGACTATTTACGAGTATTTTAAAAAAAGTTTCATCAAAATCGATGCAGATTTGTGATGTAGGCAAAATTTTGCTCACCAAATGTGCTTTTTGGCACACTGTGCGGCGGAGATTGCCGACGCTGAAGTGTCATCGGCGCGTCACATATGTAAATGTTTAAACTCACACGAAAAATTCAGTAGATTCTGATGTTTTGAGGAATTTTTTGAGATAACGATGAAAAGATCGACGGATATTTCTCATTTTCGACGCCCGTCCGTTCGCGTCGAATCGTTGCGCGAGCAATCATGAACCCTTCGACGAGATCCTGGTATTACAACCACGAAGATTAATCTCGCAGGGACGTCATGATAGATGGTATCTCGAAAGAGAAGCATCAAGGGATAATCCATTAATTACTATTCCGTCCTTACACGCCGCATATTTATTCAATAATATGGAGTTTTCCCAGAGCGCGCAAAACGATTCAAGCTATAATTAGCTTGATCGATCGCTGCAGCTTTTACTACTAGTCGTACGGTCACGCTCATTGTATTATGAGGAGTCGATGAGAAAAGGAAAAAAGGTCGTTTCTTTCCAGCGACCTCGGCTCGCAAGTTCCATTGTATTCTCAGCGCACAAAGAAATTTGAAAAATAATTCTCTGAGAAAAATGCTAATATAAACTCATTTACAAAGAGAATATATATGATAGTTTTTTTATATACAATAAATTCTTTTCAGTTTGACTATGTTTCTAGTGATGTATACTCAAAAAATGCTTCTCTTCGCGTCTAGATAGAATTCTAAATGTTAAAGTTAAAATTTCTCGCTGTTTTTGTATCTGCAAACAAATTTTAGATGGATGTGAGGATTATACATTTGT